TATTAATCTTGTGAGCACATCCAAATTGTTTAACTGTAAAGCAAAAACTAGCGTTCTGAGTTTGCTGTTCCAATGTGATCAGCACATTTCGGTTCATTCAATTAAAACGCACCCTGGGGGATGAAGTGAATTTTCCTGTATAAGCCCACTCTGTTGCAAACAAGACACCTGGCCTATCTAAGCCTGGAGTCTCTCAGGGCTGGGAGGTCCCTTTCTATATAAAGGTGTTGCGCACAGGCTGAAGTCTTCCTCCACTCCTTTCAGCGTGGACCCAGAGCAGCCTGTCACACAGGAAACACAGAGAGCCGGGGATGACTGAGGCCTTAAACCCTGAGGGGAGAAGGTAAGGGCGCTAAGATACCTGGCTGCAGAGCAGGAGTGAAATCTGGCCGTGTGAGCAGGGGACACACCCACCCTGGCCCTAGATGTGTGAGGGAGTGTGCTATAAAACAGTGCTGCACCAAAAAATCCACTGATGATTCTTTTTAGGATGAATAATAAATTATAAACACGAGCAGCAACACAGGAAGCAGACTGGCGGTGCCCACACTGGGACACACAGGAGTCTGGGATGGTTCCCTGTTTCCTCAGTACAAACGCAGGAAGGAGCATTGTACTGAACGACAGTACCGTGCAATGAGTTGGACGCTTGAGTTTCTCTCAAAGGGACAAAAAGAAACAGGTCTTCTATGTAAGTGGAGGGAAGATCCTAAAATTCCTAGGGGATGAAGTTAAGGCTGCTTTTCCCTGTGTTGGATGTGCTTGTCAGCTGTACCGGGAATGCAAGGCTCCAGCCACTTACAGCAAAGACTCCCTCATCGATCTCAGCAGCGTGGGAGCGTTGTATGTTCTTGTGAATGGACTCGTTCTGCTCCTGTCTGCTTTGAGCCTAAAGGCGATTAGCCATATCAGAATTAATTACCCCGGACAGGATAAGAGCAGGCCCAGGGGTCAGGGGGCCCTTCCTGGCTAATCGTGGCTCGGATTGGCCAGCCTGCCTGCCCGCCCGGTGTGTGCGTGCTCTCTGCTCCAGAGTCCTCCCACCCACCCCTGAGCCACTTGTCCACCTGGACAGCGAGCTGAAGCACAGCGAGCCTGCTCTCCTGTCACGTTCTGTCTGTGTTTCACTGACGTGATCTGCTGAACTCTCCACACAGAACGAACGCACACAGAATGACAAAGAATGAACTGAGAAGCAAAGCCAGTTGCTTCAATAAGATCAGATAATATTATTAGCCCTATACGATTTCTTGTATTTGGAATTTGTCTTTTCGCATACCCCAGCTTGCTCTCCATGAGACACACAGACAGGGAGAGAAGCTTGGGGTCAGAGGGCAGGGTCAGCCATTTATAGGGCCTTGCTCAGGGGCCCAACAGAGTAGGATTCCTCTGCTGACTGCGGGATACGAACCAGCAACCTTCCAGCCCCAGGTGCAGATCCTGAGCCACAGGGCCACTGCACTGCCCCCTTCGCAATGGGGAAGCTGCTAACAGTGTTGAATCTTAAAAAGTTTTAAAAGGTCCAGCCATCCATTTTCTAAACCGCTTTATCCAGTACAGGGTCAAAGGGGAGCCAGAGCCCATCCCAGCAAGCAACAGGCGCAGGGCAGGGTACACCCTGGATGGGACGCCAGTCCATCACAGGGAAGAAAGACACACACACTCACACCAGAGCCAATGTTCCCAGAATCCAATTAACCTACCAGACTGGCTGTGGACTGTGGGACGAAACTGGAGGAAACACATGCAAACATGGGGATAACATGCAAACTCCACACAGATAGCACCCCGGGGGTTGAACCCAGAGCCCAGTGCTGTGCAGCAGCACTGCTAACCATTGCGCTATCACGCTGCCCTAGTAAAGTCCGAAAAACTTTTAAAAAAACTGCATTTTGAAGGTTCAAGAATAATGCAGGGTACTGCTATAAAGCAAGATAAAATAAAAAGAGGTTCTTCTCTGAAGACCTTCCAAGTGGATATGGCCTCTCTTCACTCACCAGTGCTTCTGCAGAATTATTTTTCAGCACAACACCACTGAGCCCAATCTCTCAATCTCATTTGTGGTTTTCAACATAGGCTTTCAACATACAGTAAAACTGGGATCTTTATCTAACTGATTCACTGCCTTGATTAGTATAAGACGAATTAACTTTCCATACGGCAACGTTTAGTTAGATTTTAATTTGGGCAGTGCCTTACAGAGAGGTCCACAAAGTGATCTTTAGAAACCTGTAGTTTATTGTGTATGTAAAATAAATAATCCGCTTTGATAAAGATGACCAGCGGTTGTAATGGATCTCAAATGAGGACTGAAAGCACACTTTAATTTTCTCTTCCTCAGACTGTGAATATTACTCCCACAGGGTAAGATGGCACAGAATACACAGAAAACCTATTATTAGGGCTCCTGTGCAGGCAAAACTTTTATAGAAAACAGGGGGCAGTGTATAAGTGGGTGTGGCATTAGCAGAAAACAGTCATTTGCCTTTGTCCTCCATTATGTTTTTCAAGTACACAGACTGATGTTTTCCGTTTAGCCCCACACCTGCAGTTCACACCTGCCCTCTCACACGCGTTCACTCCCAGAATCCTTTGAAACAGAACAGGGAATACAATCAAATCCTGGGGGTTCTAGCAACAGCGCAGCATAAAATGGCTCAGCCTGGAAATACAGCGAGCAGAGGCTGCTCATTCAGAGATCTCCTGTTTCTCCAGGCTGCTGGGGTAACTGTGACCTCAGGGCCTGCTCAGTCTTCCTTCCCTGGCTGATTGGCCTACTGTGGTCCCAGGCCTGCTTGGCCTGCTTCTTGCTGCCAGGCTCAGCGTGAACCCACAGCCGGCTCGACCCGACCCTGGCTGTGAGGACTACCACAGCCCCAGGCCCGTGCAGTCTGACCCTGGCTGGGAGGACTACCACAGCCCCAGGCCCGTGCGGCCTGACCCTGGCTGGGAGGACTACCACAGCCCCAGGCCCGTGCAGTCTGACCCTGGCTGGGAGGACTAGCACAGCCCCAGGCCCGTGCAGTCCGACCCTGGCTGTAAAGATTACCACAGCCCCAAGCCCGTGCGGTCCGACCCTGGCTGTAAAGATTACCACAGCCCCAGGCCCATGCGGCCCGACCCCGGCTGTCAGACCAACTACATTCCCAGGCCTACGGGGCCTGCTCCTGGCATCCAGATTCACTGTGACCCCAGGGCTGTCCGGCCCCGGCTGGAAGGTTCATCGCGTCCCCCGGCCACACGACCGGTCCTGCGGCTCTCGTACTCACCGTGTTCCCCGGCTGCCTGCAGCGCAGCAGCGTGAACTTGCTGTGGTTCTTCTTGCTGCGACTCTTGGACTTGCGCAGCTCCTCCGATTTCTCATAGTCCGTCAGGTCAAACACCTCCTGGATCTTCTTCTCATCCTTCACCTGCGGAGCAACACAGACAGTGAGCGCCCTAGCTCAGGGGGGGACACCGTCACCGCTAAAGGGAAGAGCTGCAACACACCAGCAAGAAGGCTGGTTCTGCTGATCCAGTTACTGATAATACATACACACTTCCATATGGATGATGCACAGAATCTGTAGAACCGGCTACTGGGACATGCTAAGACTTAAGCAGAGCAGCTGAACATCTTAATGTCATTATGCACTCCTGCTGTTGCGTCGGGGCACTGGAGTAATAAAGCAGTTTATTTAAGCTTGACTTCTTGACCTAATTCTCAGGCTGCCGAACAGCTGACGACAGACGGCACAGATGTAACTGATCCCCGAGCGGGGTGCAAGCTGTGAGATTGTAGAGGCAGCACATCGGGGGGGGCATGAGGCGGGGTGGGGGGAGGGGGAGTTTTTAATCGGGTCCCCCCGAGAATACAGCTATACCGTCCCGACATCACGCGGTGTCATCACCGGGGCCAAGGTGGAGTCAAACCCGGTTTTCCCCTCCGGAGGCACAGCTGCCTCTGCGCTTTCAATTCAGAGGTCGGAGCCCACCGGGACAAGCTCTGAGCACGTCAACCAGCAGACAAAAGGAAACAGCAGCACTTCCTGTACAGTTACGCGTCCTTCCTCTCTGCTGGCGTAGTGGAACAGGAAAGGAGAAGCTGTGCCCGGGACTGTGTAGCTACCGTAGAGCAAAGGAACCACTAAACTTCTCCACTGACGGCGATTCCGAGCTCTGTCTGAACGAGGCTCTTTAGGACAGACCTCACGTCATGGGACGGACCTGCCGAAGAACGAGGAGAGCCTAAAAATTCCCAGGAGCTCAAAACTTCCATTGGAAATTTTGCGACAAGGCCAGGCCTCTGGAGATCGAGCTAAACCCCACACCATTCATCGCCTTGGTGAAAAGTCCAGTCTCAGGGCCCCTCCT